GACGAAGTTTGGTCATCTTGACCTCCAAGGAGCACTCTGGCTGCACTTCTTCCAAAATGGATCTATTGGTTCTTTTGTTGTTGTTGTTAAGTGCCATCGAGTCGGTTCTGACCCATAGTGACCCTGTATAGGGTTTCCTAGGAGCAGCTGCTGAGCTTGAACCTCCAACCTTGCAGTTCAGACGTTGGCGGTCTGGTGCATTAGCTCACCGCGCCACACCAGGACTCTTTAGTGGAGGTGAAATGTGTGTGGTCTTGCTCAGGGTTCCCAGAAGGTTCCTTCCTGGAGAAATGTGAAGACAGAGCACAAGTGGCATCTTGCCAGGCGGAGCTGAGGGACAGGTGTTCTGTGCAGTGAGCACAGGCTGACCAGAGACAGGGCCCAGCAGTCAGCAGCAGCCCATCCAGGGGATGAGGGAGGGAGCCGGATGTGGTGAAGGACCAGGAGGGGCTGGAGGAGGCAGAGCTGGGGTGTGTGTGTGTGTGTGTGTGTGTGTGTGTGTGTGTGTGTGCAGGACAGGCTCCCATCCAAGTGGGAGAAAGACCCCTCTGAGCAGCAGGAATGGAGCACAGGCTAGGCCTAGAGGTGGGGGACTTCCTAGGACCAGTTGAAACGAAAGCACGGAGCTGATGGGAGTTTGTGTCTCATTTGCCAACCCTCACCAGAACCCAAGGCAATGGGGAGGGACCCAGGCCTGCCAGCTGTGGAGGCAGAGAGCTTGAAACTGCCTGGGACTCTCTAGGTGCCTGCCTGAGCTTTCTAGTCTGGGCACCTCCCTGCAAGTACAAGGAAGGCTGGGGGAATCCCAGACCTGGGGGGTGGGGGGGGGTGTTGGTGGAAGAAAGGGCTGGTTTCCTCACCAGAGCAGTTGTCTGATTACCAGGTTGAGAAAGTAAGGCTAAGGACAGCCATGAAGGTGGCCTCAGGGAGAAGTGGGAAGATCAGGGAGGGGGAGGGAGGACATGGGTTGCTGAGTAACTTCCTTAGGGCCGTGAGAATTCAAAAGGGGTTTTGGGGTTTGTAGAAGGGACTGGGGACTTTACTATTATTGTAGGGTAAAAGATTTAACTACATCCAAAGAATTTGGCCTTTGTCATCCTTGGTTCCTGACCTGTAACACCCTGGAATTCCCCCAGTGGTTGGAGTGACTCTGAAGCCTCTAGACCACACCTGGAGTCCTGGGAGACGGGGCCTTCAAAAAGTTCTTGGGAAAAAAACGTCATTATCTGTGCATTCCATATTTTGCACAAAGTTTTGGAAACCCCTTGTTAAGTATAGTGATTTCTTGAGTTCTTTAAATTGTTCTAGTAGATTCTCAAACCCAAGGAAGTGATGGGAAGCAGTAGATCAGAAATGAGGGGGTATCTTGGGGGCCTCCGAGCTCACAGTTGGTAACCTGAGGCAACTGAGGGAACCTCTGAATTTATAGTCAGTAGAGCTCTGGTAGCGTAGTGGTTACTAATTGGGCTGTGGGCTGCAAGATCAGCAGTTCGAAACTACCAGCTGTTCCGCAGGAGAAAGATGAGGCTTTCTGCTCCTGTAAAGACATACAGCCTCGGAAACCCTGTACAGGGTCGCTATGAGTCAGAACTGACTCCATGGCACATAACAACAACAACAACAACAGGTCAGAATTGGGAGTCCTGGTATGGTGCTGTGGGCTAATGCGCCAGACTGCAAAGCCATTTGAACTGCAAGGTCAGCGGTTCAAGCTCACCAGCTGTTCCTTGGAAACCCTATGCAGGGTCACTATGGGTCGAAATCAACTCAATGGCACTTCACAACAACAAGGTCAGAATTGAGGGGACCCCTGGGCTGAGAACTGGCACCTTCAAGTGGTGGCAGAGAAATTTGTAGCTGGTGTCTGAGGTTTCCACCAGACTGGGTGGTCTGGAAGACTGTGTGTGCCCTTTCACTTGGGAGGTCCTGGGGTCAGGTTCAGGAGAAGGGGTCATATGTGCAGCCGTATGGGAACAGAGGAAAATGGACTGATCGTCAATCTCAGAGATTTCCTTCCTGGTGTCAGAAGAGTGAGGCTGGCTGGATTTCCCTACCAATAGTCTTCTGTTTCTTGATTTGCTGTTTCCCATAAGCACCAGTAGGGAGTCAGGAGACCACGGTATGGGGTGGCTGCACCTAGAGCAGGTCATCAGAGTGGACATGCAGGTGGAGGCAGCCGGAGATGGGGTGAGGGCAGGAGGTGCTCAGAGCCTAACACCGGGCCCGTTTCCTTCCAATGTCCTCAGGGGTGCCCGTGGGAAAGCGCTGGCAGGACGTCCTGCTGGTGACCCAGAAGCACAGCCGTGACCACATCCTGCTGTTCAATGATGCCCACTTCCTTATGGCCTCCTTGGGCGCACGGGACTCTCAAACCACAGAGGAGCTGTTAACCACACTGCAGGAGGCCAGCGAGTGCGTGGTGACGGGGGTCTTGGGGACAACTGCTCTGTTCTCCAATAGAGTTGGGGGCTAACCTGGGAGATACTCAGTGGACAGTGATGGTACCTGACCCATGGAACCACGCCCACCTGCCTGGTCTGCAGGTCACTGCCTCGCCCACTTCACTGATGACTAAACCCAGACCAGAGCAGGGGGCCCTGCCCAAGATTAGGGTGCAGCCCTGCTTTCCCCCTCTGTCACCTCGCCCCCTCAAAACACCCAATGTGTGTCCACTACCATGTGTCCAGTACTGTGTGTCCAGCACTGTACCAGGGACCTGTAGGAAACTGGCATGAGGTGGGGGGACAGAGGGCCAGGAGGTGGGCCACGAAGAGCTGAGGGCGGCCCTCACCTCGGCAGGTCACCAGAGGAGAACTGCCAACACCAGCTGGCCCGAGATGTGGGCCTTCCGCTGTGCCGGGCCCTGGTGGAGGCTGACATGGGGAATGCTGACCACGCCTTGGAACTACTGCTGCCTATCCGCTACCGGATCACCCAGATCGGAGGCAGCAATGCCCAGGTGAGCTCTGGTTTGGGTGCCCACTCTCTGCCCCACCCCACCCCTGTAAACTTGTGGTTAGGAGGGCACGGAGGCTGCACCTCATCTCCCTTGGGGCTCTCTTGTGCTCGCCCCACATGACAGAGCCTTGCTTGTCGAATTGGTGTTTCAGAGAGACGTCTTCAACCAGTTGCTGATTCACACAGCCCTGAACTGCACCTCAGATGCCCATAGGAATGTGGCACGGTGAGTTCCCCACCGAGGGACACCCCATTTCTCCTCATGACCTCCAGTCTACCGGCTGCCCAGCAGACTGAGTGGGTTCCTGATTTTGAGGGCTACACCATTTCTGGTTCTCCTTGTTAGCTCAGCCTGCCCCCTGCCCCCCCACAAGGCCAAGGACTCACCTCCAGCCCCACAGCCCGTCCCCCATCCTAGCCATGCTGAGTCCTCAGGCCCATGGACGTTGGCCTGGGACACTTCCTCCTGTTTCACTTAGGTGACATTCAGGGTCCCCTAGGCCTCAGCTCACCTTCTCCTGCTTGGGCCGGCACCTGGGAGGCCATGGTGAGCAGGTCTGTGGGGTTGGGGGTTCGTGTCTGGTGAAGGGCCTTGATTACTGACAAAAAGGTTGGTGTTTGGAAACCACTCATCGGCACATTGGCAGGAAGGCCTGGTGACTTTAAGTTAACCCTGACAGTCCCATGGAGCACAGTTCTCTGCACCCATGGGGTTGACTCAGTGGCCGCAGGCTTGGGGGTTTGTTTCTGTTTTGAACCTCTATCTTCTCTTTTTAAAACTCAGGGTTGGGTTGGTTTTTACCCACAGTCAGCTCGCACCCACCTTCTGTTTGGCCATCTGCTCTTTTCTCAGAATGGCCTTGGGCAGGGAGGAGGATGAGCTCTGAGTTCCTGACCCACAGAGGTCCCTGGGCAGACCCTGGGCAGACCGGGCACAGTGACACCCTCCCTTAGCCTAGAATTCTGCCACCCGCTGGACCACACGGTTCTCAGCTCTTGCTTTTAAAAGACTGTCAAGTTGCTCTCTCAGAAATGGATGTGTGGGCCACACTGTGGTATGTTCTGGAAAGTTTTCCTTCTCCTCTCTTACTACCTCCCCTCGCAGACCTACCTTCTCTCAGTTTTCCAGTCTCTGGACCTTTGTCCAGTCTGTTCCAGTCTGTTCCCTCTTCTCTCTCCTCAGTGAAGGGGCTTCTGCATGAATAGTGTCTTTTAGAAAGGTCAGCACAAGACTGGTCCGTATGAGGTAAAGGTTGAAGATGTCCCAAATGTCTCATTTTTCCAGAATGCTGTGCCAGCCTTCATCTCTGATAGCAGCTAGTACTCTCCCCTCAGTATTTTCTGTCACATCTACACGTCACTGTAATGTCTCACAGAACTCACCAGCCATCAAGGGAATGTCTCACTTGCTCTCTGGTCTGCCCTGTCCTCCAGCTTGGGCTGCCAGTGCCTGCCTTGGGGCTGAGGAGGTTCCTGTCTTCCAGAAGGTTCCCCAACAGAACCCATATCTGTTTCTGCAGGAGCCTTCTGATGGAACGTGACGCCTTGAAGCCCGGCTCACCCCTGACGGAGCGGCTCATCCGCAAGGCGGCTGCCCGTCACCTTATGCAGTAAATGGGCCTGGCCCGCTCTGCTTCCTCCAACAGAACCCCAGCGGCTTCCTGGGCTGGGAAGCATGGTGGTCTACTGGGGTGGGAGAGTTAGGAACCACCTAAAGCCCACCGGGCTGCCAGCAGTGAGCTTGATACCAAACAAAAATACCTGTGAACCTGCAGTTTTACAGAGTCTTCTTCCAGCCCATGTTCAGTGTGGGCTTGTTGTCTTGAGTATTGTAATGGGGGTCTCAGTGCTTGGTTTTTCCTCTGTCAGCTTTGGTTTTAATCCTGAGGATGCAACTTTCTAGGGTGGGAGGCTGGATTCAGGGGGCTGCTCTTTTGTGAATCAAATCTCTGTGATCCTTGTCTGTCATTAAATCGCAGCCTATTTAATAAAGTCTGCCTCCTGCTCATCTGGGGAAGGTATGGTTTCCTGGCTTGGTTGTGTTGATACCAGACTTCCTGTGAGGGAGGCCAGAGGGCATGTGAGTTGTTTTTTTTTTTTTTTCCCCAGTTCTTTCCATTGATACTGAAATTAGGAGGTGGGGTTCCTGGGAGGGATGAGGGGTCCTCCAATAATGAGGCCCACACACCACACTCAAGCCAGGTAAGTTCCTTGGATCAAAATGAATGAATGAATCGCACCCTAATTGCAGTCCAGGTGTGATGCTGTAGGATAAGCACCGGACTGCTAACCAAAAGGTGGGCAGTTCAAACCCACCAGCCGCTCCTGAGAAGCCCTATACAGAGTAACTGAGTTAGAATCAACTCGATGGTACTTAACCACAACACAATAACAAACTTCCTGGACGCCTTTGAGTGTTTTCTGTGTCGGGCCTGGGGATGGGTCCTGGAAAGGTACATTTCTCCTGAGCTTAGGGGTGGGATGGGGCAACGAGTCAAGAGAACAGGTCATTCTGTAGGATTTCGGGGTGCCTATCTCCTAAGCCATCCTGAGCTGTCCCCACCCCGACCTGCTCATACTCCATCGGCAGATCCTAGACGTCCCCTCTCCTGTTCAAAGTGAGGTGTGATGGGCCAGAGAAGCCCACCACTCCCCACTGCAGACTGGTGGCTGCCCCTGACACCTGCCCTAGGTGCTGACTTCAGGTCAGGGGTGGCACCCACATCCCCAGCTTGCCCCAGCCCGTAATCTGCACAGAGTAGCTGTCAGTGAAAGTTGGTGAATGGGCCAGACAAACATGAAGCCGACTCCTTTGTTGGGGAAGGAAGAAGCAGGTTTACAATGGCTGGGCCGCAGTCAGAGAGACGAGATTGGGGGAGAATGGCTGGGGGTGGTGGTCACAGGAGGAGATGGAGGGAATGGCTGGGCGGTGGTCACAGGGAAGAGATGGAGGGAATGGCTGGGCGGTGGTCACAGGGAAGAGATGGAGGAAATGGCTGGGTGGTGGTCATAGGGGGAGATGGGGGGGGATGGTTGGGCGGTGGTCACAGAGGAGATGGGGGGGATGGTTGGGCGGTGGTCACAGAAGAGATGGAGGGTGGGGTCCAAAGGTACAATTTCCTGATGACCTACTATGTGCCCAACATGATAAGGAGTGTGGTGAGTGGCTATGGGGACTCCTCCCAGGAGATACTATGGTGATCAGGATCGCACACCAGGGCCAGGGGCCTGGATCGTCCAAGCTCCTGCCGTAAGTGTCCTGTGGCATGTGACTTCGGGAAGCCTGGGCCGTGCAGAAGCGCTCTTGTGCCAAAGTGGACTGACAACTGCAAGGTTGGTGGTTTAAACCAATCAGCTGCTTCACAGGAGAAAACTGGGCTGTGGGCCTTCTTCAGGAAACCCCCGGGAGCAGTTCTGCTCTGTCCTAGAGGGTCGCTGACTCAGAACTTGAGGCAGTGGGTTGAGAGTTGTGTCGGGTAGAGTGGGCCTGGGAGATGTGGAGCCCCTCTGCTGGCTGTAGGAGGCCCTGGCCGGCTAACAGAAGCAGGGGTGAGCACCTAAGGGATGGACCTGAAGCTAGGACCACCTTGGACCTCCCAGTGCCCTGAGCCGATGACTTCTCACTGCACCAGCTGGAAGCTGATTTTTGTTTTGTTTTGTTTTTTATGCAAGTTCAATAGTCTCTTTTATTTTTAACTTTGAAAATGGTGTTCAAAAACAAAAATCAAAGAAGACCAGTTCCCACTTACAGAGGTACTTCCAGTGTTAAGCCTAAGTCTATTTCTTTCCTTTTTTTAATAAAAGTTTTTTATTGTGAATTAAGTGATAGTTTACATAGGAGAATATCGGTTTTACACTCATCCTATCGTATTTCGTTTCACTGCAATATGGAAGCTAACTTTCTGTATCGCTTTATGATCCTTACAGCTGGGATGCGCACCTGGTCTACCAACAACAACCTTCTCCAGTTAACCAGGATCAGAACCCAGGAGAGCCAGCCTCAGAGTTGAGGACCCAGTCAGGGGGCTCAGCACACCAGGCAGCAGCCTGGGGGGTGGTTTGAAGGCTGAAGAGGGAGCCCTACATAGAAAAGAGGGGCTAGGGACTTGGGGATGAGCCAGAAGAGGAACACAGTGTGGAGGGTAGGTTCCTACCGAGCTGTGTGACCGCCGCACTCACTCTCAAATTCCCTTGCCCTACACTGGGCTGAGCAAGCCTGGGGAGACGCAGCTCTGCCTGCCAGGAGCTCACAGTCTCATAGGAAGCTGGACTCGGGGCCAAGAGTGAAGTCATGGGGTGACCAGTGTGGATGGAGCAAAGTCAGAGAGGGCCCACCAGCCTGGGCCTGGGATGGCTGCCCTCAGCTGACTCACTGATATCTCACGGACATGTAGATCCATCTCCAGGGTGATAGTTCCTGCCTTCCTCGGAACGACCCTTCCCAGACGGTCTCTCAGTCCTAGGTAACTAGAGTGCTGTGTGGCCTTGGACAGAGCGCCTCATGCCCATGACCCATTAACATTGAGTCGATTCTGGCTCACAGGGACCCCATGTTACAGAAGTGCTCCAGAGGGCCTCCCCCCACCCCTCCGTCACTTTAACAGCAGCAGTTGACCAGACCTTTCTTCCAGGGTGCTTCTGGGCTGGCTCGAACCACCAACCTGTCAGCTAGAAGGCGAGTGCAAACTGTTTGCATCTTTGCACCACCAGGGACACCAACATGCCGCTGTTGTTAGGCGCTGTCGAGTCAGCTACGACTCACGGTGATGCTATGCACAAATGAGTGAAACACCGGCTGGTCCTGTGCTATCCTCACAGGTTGTTATGCTTGAGCCCACTGCTGCTGCCACGGTGCCAATCCATCTCGTTGGGCGTCTTCCTCTTTTTTGCTGACCTTACACTTTACCAAGCACCATGTACTTCCACAGGGATTGATCCCTCCTGATAACATACCCGAAGTGTTTCTCCATTTAACACAAAGTCTGGCCATCTTGGATTTTAAGGAGCATTCTGGTTCTACTTCTTCCAATATACATTTGTTTATTCTTCTGGCAGTCTATGGTGCCTTTAATATTCTTCTCCAACACCATCACTCAAATACATCAATTCTTCTATGATGGTGGTAATGTGCTGTGGAGACGTTTCTGGCTCACAGCGACCCTACATAGGGTTTCTGAGGCTGTAAATCTGTATGGGAGCTGAAAGTCTCATCTTTTTTCCATGGAACCACCAGTAGTTTTGAACAGCTGAGACTAGCAGCCCAATTTGTAACCACTATGCTACTATGCAAAGCCGTTTGAACTGCAAGGTCGGCAGTTCAAGCTCACCAGTTGCTCCTCGGAAACCCTCCCTATACAGGGCCGCTCTGGGTCAGAATTGACTCGATGGCACTTAACAACAACAACATGCTACCAGAGCTCCTTTTCTTCTTTACACTTCCCATTCATTGTCCAACTTTCACATGCATGTTGTTGTTGTTGTTATGTGCCGTGGAGTCGGTTCCGACTCATAGCGACCCTGCATAGGGTTTCCGAGGCTGTAAATCTTTACAGGAGCAGAAAGCCTCATCTTTCTCCCACGGAACAGCTGGTAGTTTCGAACTGCTGACCTTGCGGCTCACAGCCCAATTTGTAACCATAAGCTACCAGAGCTCAGGCAACTGAAAATACCATGGCTTGGGTCAGGCGCATCTTGGTCCTCAAATGGACATCTTTGCTATTAAATACTTTAAAAAGGTCTTGTGCAGCAGATTTGCCTAATGTAATACATTGTTTGATTTCTTGGCTGCTGCTTCTAACAGTGTTGATTGTGGATCCAGCAAAATTAAGTCTTTGACAACTTCAATCTTTTCTCCATTTATCATGATGTTATTTACTGGTCCAGTGGTGAGGATTTTTGTTTTCTTTACATTGAGGTGTGACCCATACTGAAGACTGGGTTACGCCAGTCTTTTATCTTCCTCAGTAAGTATTTTAAATCCTCTTTGCTTTCAGCAAGCAAGGTTGTATCATCTGCATATCACAGATTGTTAGTGAGTCTTCCTCCAATCCTGATGCCACATTCTTCTTCATATAATCCAGCTTCTCAGATGATATGCTTTGATAATTACTGGTGCTTGGAATGCAAACGTTGGAAACAAAGAGGAAGGATCTGTAGTTAGAAAATATGGCCTTGGTGATAGAGACTATGCTGGAGATACTATGTTATTAAGTGCCGGCGAATCGATCCCAACCCATAGCAACCCTGTATAGGGTTTCCAAGGAGCAGCTGGTGAGCTTGAACCGCCGACCTTACAGTTCAGACGGCTTTGCAGTCTGGCGCATTAACCCACAGCGCCACACCAGGACTCCCTGGAGATAGAATGATAGACTTTCACAAGACCAATGACTTATTCATTGCAAATTCCTTTTTAAAACAACATAAAAGGTGACTATATACATGTACCTTGCCAGATGCAATACACAGGTATCATATTGACTAAATCTGTGGGAAGAGATGGTGGGAAAAATCAGTATCATAGGTCAAAACAAGACCAGTGGCCAACTGTGGAACTGATCATCAATTGCTCATATGCAAATTCAGTCTGAAGCTGAAAAAATTGAAAACAAGTCTAGGTGAGCCAAAATATGACTAGAACATATCCCTCCTGAATTTAGAGACCATCTCAAGAACAGATTTGCTGCATTAGACACTAATGACTAAATATCAGAAGAGCTGTGAGATGACATGAAGAAAATCATACAGGAAGAAAGCAAGAGGTCATTAAAAAAACAGCAAAGAAAGAAAAGACCAAAATGGATGTTCTTCTAACATCTAACATTCTAACCCAACAGACTCTGAAACTCGCTCTGCAACTCAGAAATGCTAAAGTGAATGGAAGAAATGAGCAAGCCAAATTGCTGAACAGAACATTTTAAAGGGCAACTGGAGAAGACAAAGCCAAGTATTATAATTAAATGTGAAAAATATTATAATGAAATGTGTTCCTAACCTGGAGTCAGGAAACCAGAAGAAAAGAACTTGCTCAGCATTTCTCAAGCTAAAAGAACTGAAGAAAAAAAATCAAGCGTCAACTTGCAGTTTCGAAGGATTCTATGGACAAAATATTGAATGATGCAGAAAGCATCAAAAGATGATGGAGAGTATACACAGAATCACTGTATCAAAAAGAAAAGGTCATGTTCAACCATCTTAGGATAAGCACTAAACTGCAAGATTGGTGTGAACTGCAAAGTCGATTTGAACCACAAGGTTGGCATTTTGAACTCACCAGTCACTCATCAGAAACCCTGTACAAGGTCGATATGAGTCGGAACCGACTCGATGGCATTTAACAACATAGGATCAAGAACCCATGGACGGAAGGAAGGATTCCAAGTGGCACTGAAGGCATTGGTGAAAAGTCAGACTCCAGAAACTGACGGAATACATACTGAAATCTTTCAACAAATTGATACATCACTGGAGGCCAAGAAATTTGGAAGACAGCTACCTGGCCAAGAGATGCATATTTATGCCCATTCCCAAGAGAGGCGACCTAACAGAACGCGGGAATCATTTAACAATATTATTAAGCGTCACATGCAAGTAAAATTTTGTCGAATTCAAAAACGGTTACAACAGGGAACTGTCAGAAACTCAAGGACTCAGAAGATGCTATGAAACTAGGGGCATCATTGCTGATTCAGGTGGGTCTTGGCTGAGAGCAAAGATGGTTACCTGTGCTTTACTGACTATTGAAAGGCTTTCGACACCAACAGTCTAAGTAGGAATTTAAACTTTTCCCGTTGTACAGAGGAGCTGGCATTCGAACCAGGCCCCTCGCCACACGTAGTTCGCAGCCAGAAGCCGGGACTACAGGGGCCCAGGGTCAGTCTGTGTCCTAACACAGCCTCAGGCAGGCTTCGGGGATCAAGTTCCCTGTGTGTCAGGATGCACCAGGGTTGGAGTCAATGCATCTCTGAGAGCCAATTCGCCGCGAAGCTAATTCGCGGCGCTGAGGCAGTGCGCACGCGCAACGGCTCCTCCTGCCGACGCCCTGACTACAATCTCCAGCATGCACGGCGGCTAGCGCCGGAGCGACCTTTTTCAAATCGGCCAATCGTCTCCCAGGCGGTCTCGCGCGGTGTTTAAATGCTCTGCAGAGGCGCGCCCTCCCGGCTGCCGGCCACTCGGGGGTGAGGGTACCGGTTAGACGGGGCGGCTTGGGTCACCAGGTGGGACGGGGTGGGCCGCGCACCTCCCGGAGGAGTCCCGCGCGCGCTTCCGTGGGGGCCGGGAGGGTGGGATCCGAGAGCTCGGGGTCCCGTGACCCCACGTCTCGCGCGGGCCCCCGGCGGCATGCTGCTCTCTAGGTTAGCCGCCTGGCCCTGTCGTGGGTCCTGGCTCTGTCCCCCGTTGACATCTGGCCTTTCCTCCCGCAGTGACTTCCGGACAGCCTTGTGAGTGGACGGAGAAGGCCGCGACCAGGTCACCATGGACTCACGGAGGTTGGACGGTGAGGCCGCATGGAGACGGGGTGCAGTTAGTGCCTCTGCCGGGTTATTCACGGATTTGTTCACTACCCATTCTGTGTCCTGTCCTCATGGACGCCTGAGGTCACCAGGGCACCGTCTCCCCACCCCTGTCCCTGTCCCCACCCCGTCCCTGAGGAGGCCCATCCCTGTCCTCACCCTCTCCCTATCCCCGAGGCCCTGGATGACGTCCAGAGGACACGTGTACAGTGTAGACAAACCCCCTTCTTATACTGTTCAGCACCTTGGTTTGAGCTGATGATGGCTGCTCTATGTCAACGTCTGTTTGGACTCAGAGTGACCCTGTACAGGGTTGTCAGGGAGCTTGAACTGCCAACCTTGCTATTCAAACCCACCATTATCTTACAGTACCACACCAGGACTCCATATGTCAACAAAGGAAGTGGTTTACTATTCTCTTTTTGTACCCCATAAGTGGCCCTGTAGGATAAGCACTGGACTGCTAAACAAGGTTGGCAGTTCCAACCCACCAGCCACTTCTTGGAAACTATGCAGGATCTCAAGCAGTGCAAACCAACTCAGGCACTTAACAACCATAAAGATTTACAGTCTCAGGAACCCCATGGGACAGTTCTCCTCTGTCCCAGTGTGTCGCTATGAGTGGGGATTGGTTCCATGACAGTGAGTTTGTTTTTGAGGACCCTGGTGTTTCTGTGGGGATTGGGCTGCTAACTAGAAAGTCAGCAGTTCAAACCCACCAGTTGTTCTGCAGGAGAGAGATGAGACAGTTTGCTTCCTTAAAGATTTGCAGCCTCAGAAACGCTAAGGATCACCTCTACTCTGTCTCTGATAGCAGTGGCTGGTGGTGCAGTGGTTGAGCACTAGGCTGATCATCAGAAGATCACTGGTAGAGAAGAAAGATGAGGCCGTCTGCTTCAATAAAGGTCGACAGCTTTGGAAACCCTATAGGGCAGTTCTACTCAGTTCTGTAGGGTCTCTAGGAGTTGAAATCAAATTTTGCCATTGGGGTTTGTTGGGTTTTTGGGGGGTTTTTTTTTTGTGTGTGTAGTGTTCTATTTGGACTCCTGGTGTGGCCCTGTAGAATCAGCACTGGGCTGTGAACCAGAAGGTCGGCAGTTCAAACCCACCAGCTGCTCCTTGGAAATCCTTTATAGAGTTGCTATGAGTCAGAACCAACTCGGCTACAAATGTTCCATTGGAGTTTTGGTGTGGTGCTGTACAATAAGAACTGGACTGCTAACTGCAAGGGTGGTAACTCCAACCCACCAGTCACTCCTTGGAAACAGGGTAGCTATGAGCCAACTCAACAGCCCTGACGACAAAAACCTTTCCCAAAGCAGACCTTTTGGTTAGTAGCCGGGCCCCTAACTGCTGCCCACCGAGGGTCCTTAATGGAACACTTGCTGTTGTTTTGTTGTGGTTGTAGTAGTAGGGCAGTGGAGTCCTGATGTGGCTCTGCAGAACAATGCACTGGACTGCAAGGTCGGTTTGAACAGCAGTGGCAGCGGTTCAGATTTGCCAGTCGCTCCTCAGAAACCCCATACAGGGTTGCCATGAATCAACTTGATGGCACTCAACAGCATCAACAGTGTTCCATTACGGATCTCCAGTGTTGTCATGGTTATTGGCAGGGGGCGCAGAGGCTGGTGTCCTCTGCTAATCGTAAGGTTGGTGGTTTGAACCCATTCATCAATTCCACTGGAGAAAAGATTTGTTGATCTGTTTCCCTAAGGATTGTACCCTTGGAAACCCTATGGGAGAGTTCTACTCTGACCTCTTGGTGGGTCACTATGAGTTGGAATTGTGTTCAAGAGTGTCCCATTGTGGCATGTATGTGCTTTCATTGTTAGGTGCCATTGAGTCAGTACTGACTCATAGCGACCCTATGCACAACAGAACGAAGTACTACCTGGTCCTGGGATCAACCTCACAATTGTTGCCACGCTTGAGCCCATTGATGCTGCCATTTTGCCAATCCATCTCTCTGGGGGTCTTCCTCTTTTTCTCTGACCCTCCACCTTACCAAACATGATATCCCTCTCCAGCTACTGGCCCCTCCTGACAACATGTCTGAAGTATGAGAGATGAAGTTTGGCCATCCTGGCCTCCAAGGAGCACTCTGGCTGCACGTCTTCCAATACAAATCTATTGGTTCTTCTGGCAGCCCATGGCACTTTTAGTATTCTCCTCCAACATCACAACTCAAATGCATCAATTCTTCTACGGTCCTCCTTATTCACTGTAATTGCTCTAATCTGCTGCGGGTGAACATTTGGGCTGCTCCTAGTCCTGACAAGGCTCTGCTGGTACTGTGTTTTAGACTGCTAACTGCAAACTTTCCTCTAGGTACTAGGAGAAAGATGAGACTTTTTGCTCCCATAAGATTGACAGTCTTGGAAACCCTTGCTAGCATCGCTGTGAGCTGGCAATGGCTTGGTCTTTTGGGTTTTAGTGTCTCACTATTACAATCTGCAGTAACCGTGTATACACATCGTTTTGCACATCTCTGAACATGTGCAGGATAATCAGAGGCAGAGTTACTGGCCATGGGGTTTGCACATTTGTTCCAATCCATGTTGCCGATCACTCTCCACAGAGTTGTAAGAATTTGCACCTGCCCAGTCGCAGATGCCCCATCTAACCTCACAGCCCTGCCAAGAGTTTATCAGACGTTTCAATTGTTGCCAGTCTGATAGGTAACAAGTAGAATCTGGGGCAGTTTATTTGATATGTCTTTTTTCTTTTCTATTTAGTGAATCTACCGTCTCAACCATTTCCACATGTGCAGTGATGTCTAGGACATTCTCATCCTCCTTTTCCAAATCAGGGGCTGAACTTCTTGTCATATATATTTAAGAACATGGCCTTTTGTTTTCTGTGAACTATCTGCTCGTATCCTTTGTCCATTTTTGGCTTAGGCTGATGCTTTCTCTTCTAGATAGTTTCTCTTGTGAATTGTACTTTTCTAAATCCTTTGTCTCTGGTCCCACTGCCTTTGACTCAGTTCTGACTCCTAGTGACCCCTCAGAGGTGTCAGTCTTTATTAGGAGCAGAAAGCCTTCTCTTCTTCCGGAGGAACAGCTGGTGGCTTTGAACACCGACTTTGTGGTACCTATGGTGCCTTAGCACTGCTTTTGTTGTATTTCACAGGTTTTCGTATCTAGTGACTTCATTCTTATTTGATTCAAGGAATTTTTTTAATTTCATTTTTTATTTCTATTATTACCCAGTAGCTTTAAGCAGGATGTTATTCAATTTCCATGTATTTGATTTTTTTTCACCCTTATTGATTTCTTATTTTATAATGTTGTGATCTGAGAAGATGCTTTGAGGTATTTTTTGTTAAGTTTGAATTGTGAATTGAGTGATAGTTTACATGGGAGAACATCATCTTTATACACTCATCCTATCGTACCTCATTTCATTGCAATGATTATAATCCCCTCCATACATCATCATTCAACAGCATTTGTTTCCATTCCCTCGGTTGTTTTTTTCTTTTCTTTTGGATGTACACCGAAGCACTCAGGAATATATAATCATTCAAACAACCAAAGTGTACCACCCCGCAAGCCTGCCCCCTGGCCGTCAGCACATAGCCCCTCACTTTGTAGAATTTTGATGTTTTTGAATTTATTGTGGCTTGCTTTGTGGCCTAACATATGGCCTATTCTGGAGAATGTTCCCTGTGCGCCGGAAAAGAACATATACTGTGCTGTTGTTGGGTGGAGTGCTCGAACAATCAAGTTGAATGGTTGTGTTGTGTAGTTTTTCCTACGTCTTTGTGGAGTTTCGTCCTTCATCAGAAGTGAGGTAGTAAAAGCTCATGTGGAGATTGTGGAATTATCTATTTCTTTCTTCAGTTTTATCAGAATTTGATTTACATATTTTGAGGCTCTTTCATTGGGAGTGTAGATATTTATTATAGTTATGATCTCTCATTCAATTGACTCTTTAATCACGATTCTTTGTTTGTTTGTTTGTCTCTTATGCTGGTTTTTGCCTAAAAGTATATTTTTTCAGAGATTAATACTGCCATACCTGCTCGTTTTTGATTGCTGTTTCCTTAATATATTTTTTTCAATCCTGTGTTTTTTCATCTGTTTTTGTCTTTGTTTGTAAGGTGTATCTCTTGTAGACAGCATGCTGAAGGATCCGATTTTCTTACCCACTCTGCTACTCTTCCTTGACTGGTTAATTTAATCCATTTGCATTCAGTGAAATTATCGATAGGTAGGAATGAAATGCTGTCATTTTGCTGTGTTTTGTGTTTCATGTAATTTTTGCAAAGTTCATTTTCTTAGTTTTTTTTTATTTTTCCCCTCATTGCTGTTTTTAAATGCTTTAGATTTTCCTCTTCTTTATTTTGATGTGGCAGTGTATTAATTCTCTTTGAGGTTACCCTGTAATTTATTAATTTCTTCCCCAATTTAAAGCAGTCTGTATTATCTTGACATTTACTTGACTTCCTCGTTTTTTGGAAGGTCTATACCTATACTGTGCCCTCTTTTTGTTTTATAGTTGTCTTTATTATAAATAGGTATCTGGTTCCTTATTTTCAGCCTTGTGGGTTTGTTTCACTGTAAATACTTCTAGGTCTGAATTAACTATGCAAAGGCTTTTGACTGTATACTTCATGATGGTTTGCTTTTGGGCTCTGCCCTGTTTGGGATTCTTTCAGCGTCTTGAACTTGTCTGTATCTTTTCTTCCTTCATGATGCTAGAAAACAATTTTCTCTGGGTTTTATGGTCTCTTTCTGTTATGGAATTCCAATCACATAGATGTTATTTCTCTTCGTCATATCACACATAAATCTTCAACTTTCTTCTGACCTTTTCCTTCTGTCCTCTTGGTCTGAGTAGTGTATTTGCCTTGTCAGCTGTCTTGGTTCCTCTACTATTGATATGGTGTTTTTATGGTTTATTAATAGTTCCTATGGACTCGTGGTGTGGTGATGTAGGATAAGCACTGGACTGCCAAGCAAAAGGTCAGCAGTTCAAA